GGCTCCTCCCGCCGCTCCCGGCCCCGGCCCCAGCCCCGCCGAACGAAATGGCGGTCGTGGCCCTTCTGCGCCTGCGCGACCGAACCGGATGTGGGCGGGGCACGGCGGGGCGGCAGCGCCATTATGAGGAGGTCGGATGGCCGTGAGAGAAGGGCCCGCCATCGCCATCTTGGGAAGGTCACGCTGGCTCTGTCGGCGCCCAGCGCCACGGCGTCCCGGTGATGGAAAGCAGAGCGGCACCAGCGAGAAGAAATCCCCCACTCTGTGCCGAAACGCTGCTGAAGGCCCGTGATGCCGCGACAGAGCGCGTCTACGCCGCCTGTCCCACCCCTTCCGCCATATTGAGAAGGTCAGCTGGCCCCACAGAAATCGCCATGTTGGGAGGGTTGACTGAGACCTTTTGTGGTCGCCATGTTTGGAAGGTCGAATATTGACTTCCTGCTTCCGCCATCTTGGGAAGGTCGGTGCCATCCTGTCCGTAGCGGGGCCGTGACGTCACCGACAGCGAGCTGTGACGTCACTCCCGCCATGACCTCGCTCCCTAGCATGACATTAGAGCCAGGTGCCGGGACAGACTTTTATTGGGGCTCCCCGCCCCACCCCCAGCTTCATTGATTTTTTTTTTTTTTTAATTTTTTTTTTGCCTTTTTTCCTCCTTTTTCTTAAAAAATAAATGTACAATTCCGGACAGCGGCGGTAGAAAATATACACGTCTGGGGGGGCGGGCCACACATACAAAAATAGAGGGGACGGGGGGACATGGCCCCCCCCAGGGGCCCCTGTGCCCCAGCCAGGGGAGGGGGCAGGGGGAGAGGGGGATGCGCCAGGGGGGTCCCCAAACCCACACCCCCCCCACCAAGGGTGGGGGCAGCACCCAAGGGCCGGGGCTGGGCAAAGTGCGTCAGTGCTGGGGGGCTCCGGGCCCCCCGGGGGGGTCCCGGGGTTTGGGGGTCCCGGGGTGGGCCCCCCCTCACTGGCTGCCAGGCTCCAGCTTGTAGGAGAGCTCGAAGAGCAGGTTCTGGTTGTCGATGACGCGAAGCTGCCGCACGTAGGCCTTGGTCTGCAGCTGGGCCGGGGACGCCTCCAGCTCCAGGCCTGGAACAGCCCGGAACAGAGCGGGGAAACAGGGATGGAGGGATGGGAAAATGCAGGGTGGGGGTGCAGGGATGGGGATGGGAAGATATGGGAATGGGGATGTGGGAATGATGATGGAGGGATGCAGGGATGGATGGAGAGGGATGGAAGTATGCAGGGATGGCGAGGCAGCAGTGGGAAGGCAGGGGATGTGGGGATGGAGGGGATGCAGGGGATGTGGGGATGGAGGGGATGCAGGGGAGGTGGGGAGG